TGTTGCACAGTGGGAGCTCTGCCCATGTGTCCCAGCAGAGACTTGGGATGGGGATATTGGGATCCTTTTGGTTCTCCTCTGCTCGGAAGGTTGCAGCCCAAGGATGCATCCGCAGCTCGTTCCTAGGGTGCCATCTAGTGCCCAAATTTCCCCAGCGAAAATGTCGGTGGCCAAATTGCATTAAAAACCACTGCGAAGCCCAGGAAAGATTACTACCCTGATTCTCCCTCTCGATGAAGGCATGGAGCAAGGAAGACAGCAGCCCTATAGGATGAGGTTTTAGCAGCCTGAGACCACTGGAACATCCCCTGGGTGCTTCCATGACGTGGGGAAGGTCCTCGGATGCTCCTGAGAAGTGTGGAGGAATCAATATTCATTTGCAGTGTGGGAGAGGAACTTCTCAGTGTTTCCGATTTGCTGAGTCTTGTCCCAGACACACTGCCTTTTTAAGTCATCCCTCTTTTCATTAGGAAAATGTTGTGTTTTGTAAGCTGCTCTGTGTGTCTTTCACTCCCACTCTTCACCTTCCCGTTGTTTTCTCTGTATGGCTGCAACTCAACCTAATGTCTTCACATCTGTAGGGTGTGGTGAGCTTAGAACCCAAGGAGAACTCATGGGGGGACTCAATTCATGGGATAACCCACAGGAGGACCCATGCTACAAGCCAAGGAAAACCCATGGGAGAACTCATGGAGAACCTCTGGGAAGAACAAGGAGAACCTATGAGAGTATTCAAGGAAAACCCATGGGAGAACCCAAGGAGAACACGTGAGAGGACCCACAGGAGAACCCGCCTACATCCTTGTCCCGACTGAGGATAAAGCTGAAAAAAAGATGACAAAAATAAAGCCCAAGTGAATTAGGAATGAGACGTTGTGTGGTTCCACAGCTCACTGCAGAAGCACTCTCCCATATCATGTCCCAGGTAGCTGGGTGGCAGAGCCAAGTCACCAAGACTTTGCAGTGGCAAACTTTCTTCTTCTAAGGGTTCTTGGTAGGTGCCAGCAATGCCAGTTTGTGACCACAGCAGCTTATAGAGATGTGCTGGGGGGACTCAAATGCTTTGTGTGGAGATCCCCAAGAAGTGGCTGGCTGGCTTTGGGGCACATGCCATAGAAAAACACCATGTGCTCCTCAGTTATTAAAAGGAATTCAAGCAATACATGGTCATCTGAGCTGCTCCACACCTTCTGCAAAGCCTACAGACAGCAAAAAGCCACAGGGCACTTGTAGATACAAAGCACAGCTTGAAATTTCCAGCTTTTATCTTTCTGGAGAGAAAAAGCTGGGAACAGTACCCTGAACCTCCCAGCACGAAGGGTGACCTCCCATCGCTGTCTGTCCATCCTGATGTTGGGATGGGGTAGGAAATGTGGCACTGAGAGCCCAAGAGAAGACCCAACGTGTGAAGAAATGAAAACAATTTGACAATGTACCCCAAATTTGGATATTGGTTGTTATTTGGGGGTTTTGTCACACATGGTCCGGGGAGAGTGTGAACAGATGGAGCTGAATAGGAAGTGCAGCCATGTGGAAAAGCAATAGAATTACCCCTTTGTGAATCTGTCCTGTCCCATGCCAGGCAGGATGAGCTTTGGGTGAGAACACACAGCACACTGCAAGAGGGACAGACTTCTCATTAGAGTCTTAAAAGCATCACTCAGCCCAACCAAAACCAGAAAGGTAGCGGGGAAGGTTTGGGGGTCCTGGATTATGGCTGTCTGTCACTGTTTGAAGCTGTGGACAAAGCAGATGTGATCCTCACTGCACAAGATGGGGTATTTTGTCAGAGCTGCACAGAGGAAACGGAACGGGGAAGGCACTGGCCAGGCTGCAGGTCTGCATTCTTTTGTGCAGTAATGAAAAATGGATTTTGCAGAGAACACTTCTTTCTTTTCCATCATTTTGCCTTGTTTGCAACAAAGCTGGAAGCAAACACAGGATTTGTCTGCCACAAGTTTGCATTTTGCAGGAGTGCTGCTCCTGACCTTGCAAAGAGAGGAGTATTGGAGCTCCATCCCTGCGCTGCTCTGGAAACACAGGAACTGGAGCCCACAAACTACAGCCCTGAAAAGAAGAGGGGAAATACAACAAGTATGTCAGCAAACTGCACTGATGCACACAGCAAAGGACACGATCTGCAGACCTCAAGGGAAGGAGAGAACTAAACTGCTCAGTAGAGCCTTTGCAGTTCCCTTTTCAGTCTTTACAGGCTGACATCCACAGGCTGTGGGCATTTCCTGGGTGCTGGGGAAATTGCCTTTCATCCCCCCCACATCTGCAGTGCTGAATTCGGGAGCGCTGCAAGCCAATCCTGGAGCTGAAAGGGAATTATTTTGGGGATGTGACAAAGAGAGCTGCGTACCGACCGAAAACGGAAGGAAGAAAAACAAGACGGCACTGTTTAAATAATACACTCTATTTTATTTCGTCTTAAAATAGTTTAACCTTTATGCTACAGACTTGTTTCAAAAAAACGGAAGGTCTCATCTTGCACCAAAAATATATATATTTTTATATATTTATATAACACTCTGTTTGCTTAATTATTTTTATTTTTATTTTTTTCCTCCGAAGACCATTAAATACCAGATGGAAAAATGAGAACTAAATAATGAGTGTCGAGAATAATCAAAAAAATTTTTTTTAATTTTTTTTTTTTTTTTTTTTTTAAGCTACAGTCGCACGTTTCAAACATTTAAATTCTAAGCAATTATTTGTCTTTGCTACAGAAGATCCCACGTTCACTCTCAAGCAATTCAGGAACTGCTGAACCAAGAAGGACGTGAGCCAATGCACAGTGCAGCTGAGGGGAAACCCCCATCAGCTCCAGTGGGTTCTGGATCAGGCCCTGCGTGCATTGGTTCTTGGCCATACAACGGCTGAACATTTCACTTTTCCTGCTGAGAAGAGCAAAACCGTCCAGGCACCTTTTGCTCTTATTTTTAATACAAAAAGAATAAAATAACAATAACAACAATGACCAAAAAAAAAAAAAAAGCAAAATGAAAACACTTCCCTAGCTATCCAGTGATTGTGTTTTTCAGGCCACTACCCTCCTCAAATTTGATAAGGACAAAAAAGAAAATGCGTAGTGTTTTAAATAAAAGAAAACCTGCATCGGACTACAATGCATGGATTGTTGAAACAAACACAGTGCACAATGGGAGGAAGTCTGGTTAGGACACGGTTGTTATTATATATACATGGAGGTCACATAATATACAAACTTTAAAAAAAAGAAAACAGTTTGCATTTTAATGGCAGGCCTACTGATGGGTCCCTGCAGCTTTCATTGAAACTGATCTCTACAAGAACTTCATGGAACAGCAAAAGCCACGAAACCACCATTCCAAAGTTGCAGTTTGTTGCCAACCACACCAACACTCATTAGGTTTTGGGGGTCTCTCTTTTTTTTTTTTTTTCTCCCTTTTTCTTTTTTCCTTTCTTCTTTCTGTTTTTGGCTCGCAGAGAAAAACTGGTGGGAGCCAAATGTATTTAAGAAAAAAAAAACAAACAAACAGACAACACGAAAAGGAAATGTAACTCCCCATGTTGTAAGTATCCCCTGTTTCAGCCATTACAGGCAAAAAAAAAAAAAAGCAACAACAACAACAACAAAGAAAAACCTGCTGATGGAGCTGTGTAAAATTTCCATCAGGTACATTTCGAATACAAGGGAGTATTTTAATTGCACAACAGACATTTAAAGTGAATATCAACCTGCGTAAGTCTAATCTTTGGTTTTTGCCTGGAGAAAAGGCTCAAAATGACAGATTAGGATAAGAATTTCCATATGTGCTAAAACTGGAGCCCACTGAAGTACACAGTTCTGCTCGTCTCGGTCAGGCAAACAGAGTGTTTCCTGGATTGTACCCTAAAAGCAATTCCAAAACTAGGATAAGAGACGTGAGCTGCAGGGAAATGGTGCAGATCTGGTCAAAGAAAAGACCACAACCTTACACTCTGATCCAGCAATACTGTTTGGGGCAGAGTCTGAAGCACGTGAAGCATCGGTTGGAGAAGACCTCAAAGATCCCCAAGTCAAACTCCAACGCATCCTCACCGTGCCCACTAACCAAGTCCCCAGTGCCACATGTATGTGTTTCCTGGGAGCACAAACTCTGTCACTTCCCCAATGGCCCCACAAAATCAGGAAACTGCCCGGGATTAACACTATGCATCTGTTAAAGTGCTGTGCCAGACTGGGACTTCACAAGTGCTTTGAGATGGTCAACGAAAGCAAACGAGCAATAGCAGAAATGAAGACTAGGAGCAAGTATGTCTCCTTTCTCTCCTTTCCCTACTCCAGGCAAGATTCAGAAATAGGGAAAAAGTTTGTATACATTTAAAAAAGCAGGCGGATGCTGGGTCTTTTTATTACTTGTCATGTTCTTGTGCTTTTGCAATGGACAGCTGCTAGACAGTTTCTACTACTGCTGCTCTAAACCGTAACAAGCCGTGGTTGGGATCAGTGAAACACAGTAGTCAAGTAGACAGAAGAGTCAGCACTGAGAAGAGTGTAAACTATAAATTATATTGAAAATAAAAGTCCTTTAATTAGAAGCTGTTCAGTGCATATGTTATGGGCCTTTTGTATTAAAGACAGTCCCTCCTGCGGGTAACACAACCAAATCAGCTCAGATATAAATACTCCTGGCCCAGCTTTCCAAAGTGTTGAATACCTCCAAGTCCACTGAAACCAGTGAGGACACAGCATTTCTCAAAATCACTGATGCTCACACTGCAAAACACTAACTGCTACTTACAAACTCAATATACTGATAAATTAAAAATGTTCTGAAGTTGGAGGCGGGGATGAGTGGGAGGACGTAACTTTGCACACAATGATTTCTTCAAATTAGCACTCAAATTAGTAAATATGGATGTGTTTTAAATTTGGAGCTGCTAAGTTTTAATTCTGGGAGGAATTCTCCTTTAAGAAGGCAAAAGCAAGAAAAAGATCTAAGTGATATTAAAATTATACTGCATTCTTATGGAAATAAAAAAAAAAAACAACAAACTTCATGAGCTTGAGTCTCACAATGCCAGGAATGGGGCTTCTGAAGCTGAAGCTATGACTTCTGTGCCACAAAAGGAGAAGGGATGGGGACAGAAACACAGTGACACGGCATTACAGTAGATATTTGCGCCTGGTGTCCTCATCCAAAGTCAGGTCTACTACTTCTGGGGGAGAAGACCAATTCTGCTGGGGAGTCCATGATTGTGTTTGCTGAGCGTTAATGTACTGCGAGCCCGAGCCACGTTTCCAGGAAGACACACTCTGGATCACACCTCCCCTGGGATGAACATACCTGTAGCAAGGCAAGAAGCAAAAAAGCATTAAAGCTACTACCGAATTCAGGCACAAGATTCTTAGCTGCAGTGTTTCATCCCTTATGCGTGTTACTGACACGTCCATCCCCAAAATTTCATTGGTGTTTTCCTATTTGCAGGGTCCATATCATCTTAAACAGCCACTGATCTGTAAGTTCACCAAGCTGAGACCAGACTTAAAGTCGTCCTTAAAGAAGGGAGAGGGGCTAGATTCTGCCAGTGGGTGCAAATGCATGGATCTCAAGGATCCTGGGGAGTGCTGTCCCACCATGTGCACTGCCATGCATTATTCAGAAAGCATTCAGTTGGCAGTTTTACTGGCTGGAACCTTGCAAAGAGACAAACTGGAAGTGAGGCTCAGAATCAACACCATGTTGCAGTAAAGACAAAGTGACAGCTTCGTGACAACAACACAGCAATGAAACTTGATTTTTCTTGGGTCATCGTAGGTAAGATTCACAGAAATGCTGGGAAATGCTCCCTGCTATTGGCACAGCCCCACTTCAGTAAAACATTTCAGTGGTGAGGCACTGGCACAGGTTGCCCAAGGAGGCTGTGGATGCCCCATCCCTGCAGGCATTCAAGGCCAGGCTGGATGTGGCTCTGGGCAGCCTGGTCTGGTGGCTGGCAACCCTGCACACAGCAGGGGGTTGGAACTGGATGAGCACGGTGGCCCTTTGCAACCCAGGCCATTGTATGGTTCTGTGATTACAGTCAACGAAACGTACTGGAAGATAAGCATGCACTCAAGTGCCTTGCTGAAGTGCTCATCTACTGATTAGCACGACACTTTTACCTATTGTACTGATAACAGATATGTGGCAAAGGAAGTGCAAGCTAATAAAGACGAAGGATTTTGTTACACAAACTGATGACAGGAATTAAGATGGTTCCTCCATTCATATCGGGAAATCTGATGCATGTGCTAGTAAAACTTTGCTCCTTTTGCTCCAGGTTTTGCTCCTCTAAGTGCTGGTGGTGGCTGCGTACTCAAGCAGGACATTTTGGGCTGCTGGTAAACTGTGTCTGACATTTACATTCTATTTAATTCAAACCAGCACAGTTTAGTTTCTGCACATCTCCTGAGGTTATGTTCTTCTATTTCTTTTTTCATCCCTGGTTACAGAAAGTGAAATGGAACGGGGAAGCTTATTCTCAGAGCTCCAATTTATCCAAATGTAAATGTCTCGTTTCCTTCTCAGAAACGCTGTTTAGTTTTGGATGCTCAGAAAGACTTTTTCATTACATCTTCCATCTAAAAAATGCTTACTTAAAAAACGTATCTACAAAGAATTAGCAAAAAGAGATGGGAACTCTAACAAACAGAGGGGATTTTTTAATTTTTTTTTTTTTTAAGCTTTAAGATGGAGTATTTTAAAGCATTAAATGACAAGCAAAGACTGGAGCCAAAGCAAACTAAATACAGTGCTCCATCTCAGGGCCTATGGTCCACCCTTCCAAGACAGAACAGTCCTTAACACTTAGGCAAGGCTAATATCTTGTACTTGCAAGCAGCAGCACAGAAGTGTTTGGTGTGGGGACCCCAAGCAAAAGCTTGATCCATGAGAAGACTGTCACAGTTCTACAAGCTAAGACTAAATCTTTTCTCCTTTAGCACCTTAATATATATATATTTTTTTTTTCCTATACCCAGCAGTGCTGGACTGCATCTACACTATCTGTGCAGGAAACTCAGTCCTGCACACCTTGCTTCTTCCTTTCCTCAAGAAAAGGAGAAGGAATTATGGAGAAAAGCTCTGTTCCTTCACCCACACACCCTTTTTCTGCTGGTTTTGTTCATATTGCCTTAAGCCAAGCAAAATTCTAAAGATTTTAATCTTTATTTTAAAGATTAAGGGAGACATCAAAAAATGCTTACCGAGGTAGCAGCCAAGGCACAATTGGATTTGCTAACCACCAGCTTGGAGGGAAACCTCTGGCTTTCTTACTCTGATCTAGTTGGAGGCTCTGACCTAACTTGTGTCTTCTTAAGGAGCTGATCTTTAGGTTATCTTATCACATCAGCCACTGAAAGGTTGACAGCAGTTTTACTTCTACAATGATTGATCATTTAAACAAATTTAAAACTGTTTAAATGCTTAAAGTGAATATTTAAAATAGCAAGAACCTACATCATTATTTTTGTTTACGTATTGGAACATTCACAGCACACACCTAAAACTGAACTTTTAAAGTTTCCTAATGTCTATAAACTTGGTATCTCAATGTTTGATATTTTAACATTTCACATGTTTTGCCCATTGATATTTGGTATCAAATCCCAAGCTCAGTCTAAACACATATGACATTGATAACTGTTCTATAGAAAAACACATTCTGATGTCATTCTTTTGATGCTGTGATTCTTTTCCAACCTGAGCAATTCTATGTCACCATGACAAGGAGAACAGAAAAACAGAACAAAAAAAAACCCAAGTCTAATGTTCTCTACCTTTGGGGCATCAGTCACGGATGGGAATTTAAGAATTCTTTCTTTATTAGTTTTGGCAACACAGATATTCTGATGAAACTAATGTAATACTGGAACTGAACATAAGTAAAAGGAGTTCATACCTGGCATGCTCCTGAACTCCAACAATCTCTACTTCACTGTCAGAAGAGGTGATATTAATTTCTTCATTGATCTGGGTGTTACCAGCTGAGGGTTTGTCACTTGCAAGGAAGCCTGGATCCAAACGACCTATACATGGGACAAATGCAAACAGACACAATACTTAACAGCTTGCATGACTCAGGAATGAGTTGGAGAAGGACTTTCTCAGGCTGACCCAAAAAGACTGGAATGCCATGATTGGAAAAGCTCTAATAGCTCTACTGATGGTGCTGTCACACAGATGTGAATGAGACATATTGTTGTGTTAGGAGCACTTCCCTGCTTTAGATGTAGTCATGCTTTCCAACTGCTGTTTTACATCAACGCTAAGAGCTAGATTGCACCTAAACCTCTCTGATTTACAGCAAGATGACAATCAGTGAATCAAATCCAGTGATACTATGGCAAACTACGCCTACAGGATGGATGGAAACATCACACATGCCAGGAAAATAGAAATATGGTGTCTCAAAACAAGGGATGACAGTCAATAGGAAAACAAGAAAACAAAGCCACTGATTTCTGGCCACGCTGCTTCACATCTGTTCCATTATTATTACTATGACAAATACTTGAAAGCAATCTTTTTTTTTTTTTCACAAAAACTCCACAATGCAGCAGGTGGTTTTTCGTGATAGCTCCTCAACAGCTATCCAGCTATCCACAGCTAGTCTGTGTTTATCAAGGACTTGTTTGACAAGAAAAAAAAAGGACACGCTTCTGTTGTCCCCCTTTACAATTAACCTGGGAGAAGCTGGGGAGCCTGGAAGGAGCTGAGACTGCTGACTGCTTGGGAACAGCTCACATATTGGATTACATGGGGGAAGAGCCATTTGTAGAGCACGACATTTTGAGTTTAGCTGATTATAGTCTGTTATATATTATGTTATATATGCTAGAGGGTGTGCCAGAAATGCTTTCTGATGGCTGTTTGCAATGCTCAGAAAAGGTGGAGGAAAAATAGAGGGACAGAGTGAGCAATCTATTCTCTGTTTTACAAAAATGAAGGCCTTCAGTGCACAGAGTTGGGAAGGAGGCATTGGTATTGGTCTGCCTTTATATGCTAACTGCTAGGACTGATGCATGCCATTCTACAACCTTTGCCCAGGGCAGAAGACAAAGCATCCCTGAAATGAGTCCCAATAGACATTAACAAGAGCCCCCAAAGACTGGGCTACTGACACAGCTTTAAGTTCAGACAATAAAGTAATCAGCAGTGGGAAAACTGTGATTAGCAGAGTCAATATTACAACATGTAACCGAGTGTAAATCAGGATTAGAGAAGGCAGGCAGATTTACAGCCTCTGGTCATACAGATTTCATGCCTAATAACATGCCTACACACTTAATATCCTTGCAAGAACATTAGGATGATGCACAGCGGGGATGTTTTGTTTGCCCTACAACGTCAGCTTGCAAAACAACCCAAAATATTTGCCCGTGCACAAAGATGTGATAGTGTGCCCTAGTAAGATTTTTCACATAGATTAAGCTTATGTTGCTATTTTCCCACGGGAACCCATCACGTAACATCTCCTAAGCTAGATGCTGGCTGAAGATTAATTTCGGAAGGAGATGTAAGATGTGAAAACTCCGTTTTCCAAACGTGCAGTTCTAGGCATGGTATAAGGAAAGGCTGGTCCTGACAGACATACAGCCAGCAGTGCAGTGAAGTACAAGCTCTGGGGCAAATGTATGCAGGAAGTAAAAAGATTCGTCCCTACGGATCCCAGCACCAGGAATGAATTTGCCTGAACATGCTCCCATTGGCTAAAGATAAAGAGTTTTCCTGAAGGGATCTGTTTAACTGGCAACCTCGTCCTTGCAGAAGTTTGTGCCCTTGGATACAGGAGGAAGGATGACAAATTTCTACCTGCATCACAGCTTCGTACTCATAAAGAGGAAGGTGGAATGCTGCTTGGTAAGAAACCTTCATTTTTTATTTCCTTACATTCCTTTCTTTCTGCTGAAGTTCCAAGCCATCGGTGCTATGTATCAGGCTTCAATAAGGCTGGAACAACATCCCAGCTACAGACTGTAGTGAAGGTAACAAAAAGAGAACCTCTCCACTAGGTAATAATGGAACACCTCTTTCAAAATGTGCCATGCATTTGCATTTGTTTCAGCTTTATGGATGCTGAAAAGCAGCTCAGAGCTACCCAGAGGCTCACAGTATAGCCTGTATTTAAAAAACAGAGTGAAACACAGAACTCTGCTCCACCACGAGCAAGCCTCCATGTCCTACACATCTGAAAACCTTAATGGTGTACTAAAAATGACTGGCAAGGAAGGCAATCTGTTGGCACTTGGGGCTATGGGGTGAAGTCAGTAGAAAACACCCCCATGCTAACATAGCTCTCCCCAGTCTTCGGAGCACCTCGTCTTACTGCGTAGCTCTTTTGTGACAAGTGGAGCTGAGCAATGTTACGAGGTTCATGAACTTCTTTACAGCCTTCCACAGTATTCCTGCTCTCGCCTCCTTGTAGGAAGTTTCAGCCCACTGATACGAAGCCCAATTACAAGCAGCACCTTTTTCCCCTGTCTTTAGCTGAACCTGGAATGTCCAATTTTCTAGAATATGTTAAAAATGCAGATGGCATGTGGGAAAAAAAATGAATGCCTGTATTTTACAGAGTCAAAAAGACAAGAGAGACCCCAAAGAAGATGATTACAATAATTAAAATGAAGTGATGATTGGTTTACTAGCTATTGGCTAGCTGGCTTGTCATAATCAACTATTCAGTGGTGAGAGTAGATCACTGTCATAAGAGAGCAGGAAAACGCACCCATCACCACTAAAACAAACAAACAAACAGAACAAACCAGATTTCTGAAGAGTAATTAGAGGGGGAGAAAAAACTATTAAGAAACTTAGTGTCAGAAACTTTGTCAGGTTTTTATCAGTTGGAGTAAAGGTCGGACACTTTCAATAAGCACCTGTACTGTTTTAATGCATAATCAACATAGGGTGCTCTTAAAGCTGTATAAATCACAAAACCATCGAAAGGATGGGAGGTGGACACACTGAGTGAGAAGCAGGAATGAACATCAGAGGAAGGGAGCTCAAACCAACCTGCATCAGCACCCAGCTCATCCAGCAGCCCTCTGTTTCTCCAGGTAGATCCCAGGTCTTGGTTTCCTAAGGAACTATTGTGCTCTTGCACCACTGCAGCCGCCAACAGATTGTCCACGTTTACCACTTCTGGGTCTGAGTTTGTGTCTGATATATCATAATGAGCTACAACTGGAGGTCCATCTGCAAAAGGAGAGAAAAGCAGCTGCTGTCAGACATCAGTATACAGTAAAAAAACACCTTTAGAAGTACAATTAAGTTAAGAATTAAATCAATCTCCTAACAAGGCTCTTTAAGGAATGTAAATTATATCAATCATTGAACTTTGAATAATGAACAGTCTGATTACAGAGACATTTTAACCTTTGCAAACACAGAAAACACAAAGATGAGGCAGTTATATCTGTGTTATCTTTTACAGTAGCACATAAACATCTCCGTATCTGAGAGCATTACATTTACAATCCCAAAAGGATGGAACCTTCAATTTAAAATAAGAAATGCTGTATTAGAGGACATTAGATTCCTCAAACCATCTAGCTGAAGAATTCTACAAATAATCTCAAGCTACGGCTTACACTGCAGTAGGGCTGATTGAATAAAACTAACTTTCTAATGTAAGTGATCCAAGTGCAATAATTTAACACTAACTTAACGCTGCCTTACAAAGCATCTATCCATCAGGGACAGGGGAATTCTTCAAAACTGCAGTGTTTTGGGCTCTGTTTTCCAAAATCAAGGCTAACAAGAAGCAGAAGCATGGTGTGCAGTGATAAATATGCTTTTCCCTAACTGCCATTTGTGCTTTTGGCTGCCAAAAATAAGGAGAGGGAAGAGGGAGAGGGAACTGCTTGCATGATTAGTGGAAGCCATAAAGGTGATTTGTATAAAAGCAACGTATCTCATAACTGCCTTCAATAGATGTTAGTTATAAATAATCTTCTTCTTGAATTTCGTATGTCTCCAATATTTGAATAATAGATGATAACAACGGATTAAGCATTAATGAAAATAAACTGGTCTTTCATATGGTGTCTTATCCGTGTAATTTTATTACGATGGCATAGATGGCGATCAAGTGAATCTCAGTTCTTGGACAAATCTCACACTCGTACAGAGGCTGACAAGGACATATATGCAAGCGTTTGCACACAGCCTAGAGGGGATGTGGAGTTAGTCTGGCTGGCCTCAATGTGTGTATAAGGGTTCCTTGTGTTGTCGGTGCCTGGGAGCTGCAAACAGCCTTGGACTTGAGTGAGGAGAACACCCCTATGGAGGTGCTCAAGGGCTGGCTGGACGTCATTGTGGGCAGCATGATCTAAGTGATTGGCAACCAGCCCACGGCAGGAGATTAGAGCTCAATCATATCTAAGGTCCCCTCCAACCAAAGACATTCTGTGACTCTGAAATCTATTACTGAGGGGTAACAAAAAGGTGGTTTTTGTCCATTTGATTACAGTGCTGTATTTTCTTTTTGAGGTGTGAAAATCTCCCACCGTTGGAAAGCACACTAGAAACAGGAGAGGCTCAGAGAAAAAGAAGTCGAATTCAAGGTAAAGATTAATGTAGGAGCAAAGAGAGATTGGACGAATATCCTCATGTTGAAAGGATGCACATCTTGATTCACACACTTTGCCTCTGCTAATTACTACAGTTTATCAATTCAGAGTGGGTGATAGCAGTTGGGGTTCTTGTTCCTCAAATGGCAGAATGAAAACTTTGTTTGGTCTCAGTCGTCAGCCATAGAAATAAGCATGAAATGCAAAAATGTTCTGGGCCAAAGGATTGCACTTTGCACAGCTCCACAGGAGTGTGAACAGCTGCATGCCTGGGGACTTCATTACATGATACGCACACAGTATCACCCCAATGGGACAATAATGGTGTGCTGAGGAAGACAGGACCTGCAGCACTGCAGAATGACAGCAGATTTCTTTTTTTAAAAATCACAAGGAATAAAAAGAAAAAAAAAATGTTCAGAATCACAGAATGGCCAGGCTTGGAAGGACCTCAAGGATCATGAATCTCCAACCCCCTGCCACATGCAGGGCCACCAACCTCTACATTTAATACCAGACCAGGCTGCCCAGGGCCCCATCCAACCTGGCCTTGAACACCTCCAGGGATGGACGGGGCATCACAGCCTCTCTGGGCAGCTGTTCCAGCACCTCACCACTTTCATAGCAAAGAACTTCCCTCCAATCTTCCCTCCCTCAACTTCAAGCCATTTCCCCTTGTCCTGCCGTTATCTACCCTTTCAAATTGTTGACTCCCCTCCTGTTTGTAGGCTCCGTTTAGGTACTGAAAGGCTGCCATGAGGTCACCCCGCAGCCTTCTTTTCTCCATGCTGAACAAGCCCAGCTCCCTCAGCCTGTCCTCGTAGGGGAGGTGCTCCAGTCCCCTGATCATCTCTGTGGCTCCTCTGGACCCTCTCCATCAGCTCCCTGTCTTTCTTGTGCTGGGGGCTCCAGACCTGGACACAGCACTGCAGATGGGGCCTCACAGGTTGCAGAGCAGAGGGGGACAATCACCTCCCTGTCCCTGCTGGCCACCCCTCTGCTGATGGAGCCCAGGATGCCATTTGCTTTCTGAGCTGCAAGAGCGCACTGCTGGCTCATGTTCAGCTTTTCATCCATCAGGACCCCCAGGTCCTTCTCTGCAGGGCTGCTCTCAAGGACCGCTCCTTCCAGTCTGCATGGATGCCTGGGATTCCTCCGGCCCAAGTGCAAAACCTTGCACTGTGCTGTGTTGAAAGTCTTTGGTCTCGTTTAGAAGGAGCAAATGTCTACTGTTGAAGACAGAAAGAATGCAACAAACTGAAAGATTCAAATCTAAGTATCTGAAGAGCTCTTCCTGGTAAGGTTTTACTGAGTAACTTCTTCTCTGAAATATAATTCAACAAAATATTCTAAGAAAAGCCAATTATCATTAGCAACACACTTCATTAAAGAGTGACCATATTTCTTAAGTTGCATTGCTTCAGTTTTGCAATGAGGTGAAGAAATTCGGGAAAAAAAAAAAAAATAATAATAATAATAATCAGACTAGACCTGCCTCCAAAACAACGACTCTGTAAAATGACATCGTATTACAAACTTAAAACAGACCCGAAAAAAAATAAAAATAAATGAGTAGTTAAATGCCAATGTATCAAAGACCAATCTGTTCACAACATGAAACACTGATGATTAGGACTGGAAAAGAAATCCTGATAATTAACTGAAAGGCAATCTTTTGCTTTGGAAAAGGCAATTACAAAATAATGGCTTTCCCAGCTCAGGATTGAGCCGGCTGCCCAGCAAATTACTTGTGCAAAAGGATGGTTGAATTACAAGCAGAAGTTACGACTGGACCGAATCATGAGAGGAATGTTTCCTTTCAGTCTTATCATCAGATTCAACGTGAACACGTATATTATGGTCCATAAAAATAAACAGTCGAGTGCAGAAGATACGAGGGTCAAGTACAATATTGACTATTTGACCATTCTGGAAGCAGGTTACCTAAAATTTCAAGACCCATGTATTGCTCCTTTGAGTCTTTGTTTCTCTCACTTCTTACTAATAGCTCCAAGAACAGAAGTGAGATTTGATTTAGATAGACAAGTCTGCACAAGTACAATTATATTTGGACAAAAGGCACCAATAGTCTCAAGTCAAAATTGTACCACTCCTACATGTATAATCATGCAAAAATGTATAATAAATGTATATACATGCAGAGTGATATTCTCATCACCTACCCATAGAAATAACTTGTGCGAAAGTCTTCATCAGTAGGAAATACAAGCATAAACTTGTTATCTGTAGCTCCACTCTTGTATCTTCCACACTTCCAAAGAGCACACCTTATGACTTAGCTTAAATTTAGTATACATCAAACAGACAAAAATATTTTGAATATAATTTACATACTGTAATTATATTTGTCAGCGTTACGAGCCACCGATTTAAAGTTCTGCAAACAAGCAAGCTGCCTATTCACCAAGCAACCAAGCAGACCGTTTGTGCTTCTCTCAGCCTTGACTTTCAAAAGCAGATTTGGAGTTAAAGAACCCTGCTGCCAAGGTTATCCATATCTACCACCAACGAATGGCCACGGCAACTGCAGCAAGCCTAGAAAATCCAACACTCATAGGAGGAAATAAGCAATAAATGCTTCAGTGTGCCACAGAGACAACGAGATGCAAATGGCAGTGAAGGCATATCCAAAAATCCTCTAAAATGCCTCAAATCCCAAAAGCCTGCTTCCTTTTGCATGCCACAGGGACAGGACAGGAGGGGTTAAGCTAGGAAGACTTCGCTGGCCAACTACACCATCATCTGATGATGTGATGCAAAGCGACGGCGTGGTGCCAAGGAATCTGGGTGACTGGCTTCAGCTGGGAAATGAGAACTGAAAAAAGGCTTTCAGGTTGAAAAGGTAAAAAGATCCACTGAAAGCACAGCCGTGTTTTTTATCTGTTTGTCTTTTGTGGAGCCGCCCTTCATCATAACCGGTTCTTAAAGACAGAAAAAACAAAGGCAGGAAAACAAAACCATGATGGAATCACAGTTTAATGCAGCGGAATTAGGAGGTTTTCTCCTCAGTAATTTAAATAGAACTATTTGCTAAATTTCTTTTGCTAAAGAGCAAAAATTGCATCTTCTGAGAACTCAAGGTAGATGGAAAACGTGTGTTTCACTGGTGATAGGCTGTAATTCACTGTTAAAGCATGAAATGCTTGAAAAAGACAAGGGCTGAAAGTTAATAAGTACCAGCAGCAAAATACAGCTGTTGACATTTACTGTGAACAGGAGGAGGGAAAGACCGTAAGGATTTATTATTTTTTCTAGAGGTCATCACAGGGACAATGCTTCCAAGTGTCCAATTCTCCCTTAATTTACAGAGCTCATCAAAACTAAAAGCAGTGATGCCATACAAGGCGCTGTTACCTTTGTGCTGCAATAGCTGCTTATCAATGCAGAACAGTTTATCATAGGACACGAAGGGCATCAGAACCTGAGCTGGGGAATTCAGCCCTGCAAGCTGTTCTGGCTCTTCAGCTGTCTTAGCTTTGGGCACAGAACCCTCAGCTCATCGCTGGATGGAGGAACTCTGAGGGTTCTGATACAGGAATGGATGATGAAGGTTGATGGTTTGAACCTTACCATCATCTGCCTGCCATCCCAGCACGGGAGCTG